TCCCCTGATCGCTTTCAGTGAAAATAATTATTTCAAGTAAAAGCCATGGATGATTATTTGTGTCATACTTGATGGTCACAGTGGGACGCAGTCAACACTAGATGTAAAATGGTAAAAAGTAACGTCATGGATGATTATTTGTGTCATACTTGATGGTCACAGTGGGTCGCAGTCAACATTAGATGTAAAATGGTAAAAAGTAACGCCATGGATGATTATTTGTGTCATACTTGATGGTCACAGTGGGACGAAGTTATCGCAGTCAACATTAGATGTAAAATGGTAAAAAGTAACGCCACCTCGTTACTCCCCAAATTTGAGTACTGCAAAGTATTGGTTCGTTCCTCTAATTCTTATCACGCGTTGTTATGTGTAATAAAATTAAAGCTTAAAAATCCATTAAATATGTCTGTCCAACGTGCAGAACCGGCAAGAAAAAATTAAAACTTAAAGATCCTTTGTTTTGTTTGTTTGAAGTAAAGCACAAAGCTACACAATGGGCTATCTGTGCTCTGCCCACCACGGATATATAGAAACCTGGTTTCTAGCGTTGTAAGTCCGCAGACATGCCGCTTTGCCACTGAGAGGCCTTAAAGATCCATTAAATATGGCAGTCAAACGTGCAGCACCGGCACGAATGGTTAATTTCAACTACAGAAAAAAAACACAAAAACCACATGTGCACACCAGTTGTTTTTCATCTACCGTATTCTAACCAGTGATATCAACTATCAGTCTTTATACTTTACAGTTGTTAGAATGGGATAAATAATGTGAGTAATTATGAAAATGAATGTTTTTCCTTGAGTCATATCGGAACAAGTAATTTCTAATAAATATGTAATTCGACAATGAGTTTCTGTAACTAAATCTCAATTGAACACTTAAAGGCACGGCATGGCTATGTGGTTAGAGCGCAATCTAAGGGTCGTAAGGCGTTATAATGTGACTATCAATCCCACTATTCGTTGATAAAAGAGTAGCCCAGGAGTTGGCGGTGGATGGTGATGACTAGCTCCCTTCCCTCCAGTCTTTTACTACTAAATTACAAATGGCTAGCCTAGACAGCCCTTGTGTAGCTTTTCGCGAAATTCAAAACGACAAACAAAACATCAAACCAATCAATCGAAAACTTAAGCCTTGTATGCATTACAAAATGGTAAAAAATTTAATAGACAACAAAAAATCTATGGAACTTCAAATTTATGGACTTCGACTGATTGAGGATTATTGTGAATAACATTTGCTCATTTTTGTATTCCAAAATAACCGATTCGTTATCTAAACAAATTCACAAATAGTGAAGATTATAGAACACATCCAGACATTATACGTAGGAATTGACGTTTTAATTGAAGTTAGTATATTTGAACATTAATTCAGTGTTTTAATCACATTTCTTTCTGTCTCTTTAAATCACCTATAAGATATGAATTCAACAATAACAAGTACCACTAAAATGGAACAAAAAAACTTGTTTTAAAAATTAAAAAAACATGAAATCAATTTGTTACGTAAATTCATAATTGTAAAGGTCATATTCAGACATGATAATAAATCTTTTAATTTATTTTTTTCATTTATTAAAGTCACCAGCGTATTGATATTCTTAGAATTATAATCAACAGAAGTCCATTTAACTGTACTGATGAATTATATATATATATACAGAAAATCTGTCTCCTGGGAGAATGTGTCAAACCTCGAACTACATCAACACCAGACCGGAAACCAAGTACTCCACCTAGCGATAATTACAATCGTGAAATCTATAAGGTTAGATTCGGACAAGGCTACAATATTGGTAACCCAAGTTTACATAGGGGAAGGGTTAATAAGTTATATCGTCGATTACAATTTAGGTTTCTTCGAGATAATGCATTCTGTCGTCAAATTAATCCTTTGTTTTCACGAGCTCGACCATACAAGGTGAGTTATTATTTATTGTAAATGAATTATGAACAATGTACCACATTCAATTGTTAAAAATAAAATGTTGATTTTTTCATTAAATGGTTGCGTTTAACTACGATAAAAATGCTCCAATTGTCCTTTTGTTTTCACATTTAATCTAAAGACTGTAGAAATTACTTAAAATACTTTCATATTTCTAATTTTGTTATCCGAATGGTTTTTTAAATGCAGATTTTTGTGTCGTAGTTAAATCTGGAAAACTTACTTTGCTGGTCTATTTCTTTTTTGCAAGGTATAACGTGATAAAGGTTTTAAAAAGTATAATGAGGTCTTTTGAACGGTTCCATAAAATGTTTGCCTTTGAATTAATTTACGTATTTCAAGGTACCGTTTAATCCCTGTGTGATTAATTGTGGATCGCCCTCTACTGGCAATTGGTTTGTCACGATGCCTGATGGAACTCATTGTGGATTTTACGGGGTAAAGGAAAATCAATTATTTTCAAAAGTTACTTTAAGAAAATGGCATAAATAAACTTCTGTATGTCTACTTTAATTACATTAGAAATATATAAGATAGTTTTGCTATTTTATGTGCCTAAGTGTGAAACAAAGATTCCTTAATAACTATCTCCCAAGTTCCAATCATTATTGAAAAATCTAGCTATCTTAAGCCTAATAAGTAAATGTGAATTTATATAATCCAAATACCACAATGTTGTGTGTGCTACATTCATTTAAAAATAAAATAGTAGAGTAATTCCTGGCCTTGTGTTTCTAATCCACTTGTTTTTAAGAAAACACAAATCAGTCATTAAAGCTTGTATAATTAAATATCCAATAATTAAGTCGTTAGGTCATTCACTTGTTCCTTGATTATCACAAACATGAGTAATACAGTTGCTTTATTTCAATAGGTGTGTCTTTATCAAATTACTGATTCATGACATATAATTTGGTTTATCTTTGATGTTTAATTCTACTATGGAGTTAATTTCTGTGAGACAAGCGGAGCTTTTTATAGAGCAGTGCTAATATTTGATAATTAATTTGACAAGTCTATCTATCTAACAGTAACGGGCTTATTTGCATGTAAACTGTCTGCTTTAGTGTGTTTTTATTTACCCCAAAAAGTTTTAAAATTAAGTATCCACCAGAAACCCCAAAACAAAGTTAAATTTTTATTTATAAATATATACATCAAAATGCTAATGGCTCAAAATGAAATCAAATCGTAGTAACTTGCTTTCAAACGAATTTTCTCACGTTGTTGTAGTTAAAACAACAAGATCCCTTACTACACCAACAGTTTTCCAGTGATGGTTTGTCTTAATTACAAGTTTTCTATGCTTTCTGATTTATCATTACCAAAGCTTTGTAATAACTTAATTATTTATTAGCAGGGTTGCCTTGGAGGTGAGTGTGTTCCAGGTTTAAGAAGAAGACGTAGAAAAAAACATTTCTCCGGACACGTTCACGTGTGATGTCATTATCATATAATGACACATGTATGTGCACGTGTCTGTAACATTATACCAGACTTTGTAAAACCTTACTAAAAAAAAGTTGAATAAGTATTTGTGATGTGGCTCCGCTTTCCTGATTTTGAATAGTATATTTTATTATTCTAGTTTTATAACTACTTTATCACTTTACCAAGACTTGCGGATAATATATAAAAACACTAAATCTTTATATTTCCTGATGAAAAAAGTAATAATCAGGAACATTTATCTTTCGTTATTAAAATATAACCCATTGTTTCTTTATATTGTTAAATGCTTTTTATCTGTTGCTATAATAGTATGTAATACAATGATGGTTTGATCGATAAAGTAATAAAACCTAAAATTTGATGTTGAATTCATAGTTTGCTTTTCTATTAGAATTTTTACATTCACACTCAAATCAGTTTGATATTCTACATTATACAGTTACATCAACCAATGTTATGTTTGCAATGTAGTTTGTAAATAATCAAGTGCTAATAGTTAACATCGTATACTGTTAATTGACAGAAATATATAACATTATACACAACAAATTGTCAACATCACGTGTAAAGAATTTCTTTTAGTCGGATTTTGTAATAACAGAAATTGTATAAAGAAATAAATAAATGCTCTTCTTTTGTGAAAGCCAGAGATTTGGACTTAATATTCCAAAGTAGTGTCTCACGTTTGATTGGTAAATTAAACAAAGTGAGAAAAATAATTAATAATCTCAAAAATAATGTTTACAAACAGCGACTAAAGAGAACTATATGAATTCCAAAACTTTACATTAGATGTTAATAATGATCAAACTAACTTGGATAAGATATTAATACATCGGAAAAAATTTAAAAAATGCTGTTTTTAAACTGAGCCTGAAATGAAAAACTTTAATGCAACACACTTGACTTACTGACGATGTGGAAATTTTCACATTAATTCAACTGACATTAGTTTTGCTTCAAGTTCTGTGAAAGTTGGCAATTACTACATCAAAACAAATGGAAACAAGAAAATATTATTTCAACAAATGACATATTGAAGTTTTTGATATTTTATGTTCTATCCTCTAATAGACAGTTTTTCTACAATATGGTTTTTACGTCAGGTTACTAACTGTTTCTAGAGCTTGAATATTTTAACCTCTAGGTGTATTCCACGTGGAGTGCTATATCCCCAATTCTGTATTTTGTCCTAAAGACAAAAAAGATTCAACTAATAAAGAACTGAGATTGATATATACACATTATTCTGTATTAAAAAACCATTAATTTCAATCCTCTAAACTTTGGAACAAATACATCGGTAACAAGTCAAAGCAAATATTTATGTCAAGCTGTAATCTTACCTGATTGTGATTTCGTTGAATCATATATCATAATAATTCCTTTATATTCGATATGATAATTTTTTGTCTAATCATGTTTTGTTCATTTTCCAACATTTATATTAACACGATTCTAGAAGGATGTTGTTTCTCATACTTGGCAGAAAATTTGGTGAGTAAATGAAGTTATTGCAAGTTTAAAGTCTCTTCAATTATATTTCATACTGCTCACTCAGAGAAAAAATATTGTGTTAAATAGAACATGTTGTACATTCTCCATATAAACAGAGGGTTGGGTTGAATCTAAATGCAGATTTGTCAGTCAAGAATACGGAGTACATAATCCCATCTCAAAGGACCACAAGAAAGGATTATTGAAAGCCAACCTGTAATATATTTCAATATTCCAAGTTGCGAGCTTAACTTAGGATGGAATAGAACCTGTGACATTAATGTGCCATACAACCTGTAACATATTTCATTATTCCAAGTTGCGAGCTTAACTTAGGATGGAGTAGGACCTGTAACATTAATGTGCCATAGAACGTGTAATATATTTCATTATTCCAAGTTGCGAGCTTAACTTAGGATGAAGTACAACCTGTAACATATTTCATTATTTCAAGTTACGAGCTTCTTCATTATGGATTCACTATTTATAAAAGGTTACCGTTAACCCGATGAGGACGTTTTTATTTAATTGTTTAAGTAATTTTCCTGTAAGTCTTACACCCTTATGGCACATTAATGTCACAGGTCCTACTTCATCCTAAGTTAAGCTCGCAACTTGAAATAATGAAGTATGTTACAGGTTGTATGGCACATTAATGTCACAGGTCCTACTTCATCCTAAGTTAAGCTCGCAACTTGAAATAATGAAATATATTACAGGTTGTATGGCACATTAATGTCACAGGTTCTACTCCATCCTAAGTTATATTGTTCTCAGGCATTATAATCATAGAAGTGACACAAATAAATAAAAAAAAGAGTTGCCTAATATAAAGAGAGATTATTTAAAGAAAAACTCTCTCTACATACATAGTAATTTGAATACAATCTTCAGGACAGTTTGTAAGATATATCTGATATTTATTATCCATTTATTTTAAAAATATGAAAAGAGCTTGTTTATTCTTATGATATATTACCCATTTTTTATATCAAAAGTGACTTTAAATAAGGAAACAAGCACTGATAACCATTTCATCCAGTTTGCTTCACCACATGCCACGAAATACGAAGAAAGAGTTGATACCAATTGGTTTAAATATAATTCCCAATAAATAAGGAAGCAAAATATATAGTTATCAATCTCACTCAGTCAAATATAAGAAATAACTAAGATTAAACACTGTCGCTAACGGATAAGTTATAGAAATATTGGTGAAAATTGAACAACGCGTGTTATTCGGATCTTTCAACTCACAAACGCTGCTGCGATCTGGTGACGGGATAAAGTTTCACAAATAACAAATATTAATCATTTGCGGCAAACTGTTTTTAAAGGATTATAATTCTAATTGTGCTAATGTTGTTTGAACATAAAATTTTATTTTTTCTAAAATTAATATTATAAATAATATCGACTAATATATTAGTGTGAATCATAAGTTGTTTTTTCATTCTGACGATAATTAGAAGACAGACCGTTACAGGTAGCCATTGGACACATCAAGGTCAATCA